CCTGGATGCGGGCAGCGCAGGACCGTTCACTGTGGAAGGAAAACCTTGGAGGAGGCCTTTGTCTAGCAGTGAACGTCATTCGGCTGAAACGAACGAACGAACGATAGTTACAGTTTTTTTTTTAAATATATTCCGCTATCCAGCTTAATCCCACTATTGACGTAGCCATTATTTAGCTTATAGAAAGTAAATATAAATCGTATGTTACACCACTTACGGGCACACGTACAGGTAGATAGCGATAGCTTATCACCACTTTGTAGCACCGTGTGATAGCGATTAGGGATGTACGACGAAAATACGGATACGTATCCGACAGTCTTAGAAAAAAACGAAAGTATGTCTCTACACTGAGGTCCGAATTACAAAAAAACGCTCAAAGCTTGATTCTCAGTATAATATGTCCTATGTTCGGTAGAAATATCGATATTCAACCAATCAAAAGCCACAATCTATGCTTGATATCAAATAGAGTTTAGAGCCTTTTTTGTAATACGCACGTTCCGGAACCAACGTTCATTAACATTAGTAACACAAGAAAAGATACCAAAGCGTCTTCTGCCTTGTTTAAAATCTAGGATAAATGTTATGACGATGTATAGAGAGCAGTTAAGATGTTTTTTTAACAGGCACTCTCTTCACGTGGCCCCCGTCTTTCTCATAAATGATCTTTCTCCAGATGAAAAGGGCTTCCCTTGATCCTTGTGCCCATGGCCCCTAGTAGGTTAAAGACGGCCCTGTCACCTGATGGAAAGTGATGATCATGCCGAAGGTGGAAGCAACTTTTTTAAAATTACTGTTCAGGAAGTAACTAAGTACTCGATATTAGATTATACATATTATGTACTTGGGTTAATCGGATATACGGTATGCAAATATGTGTCACAGCTCTATCCTAAACATCATAATAAAGTAAACAGTAAAATTAACGACGCGTGCGCTTTTACGAGCTTATCGTTGGCGTAGACAAGCTTTCATAATTACATTAAATTAACTCCACGATTTAATTAGCTACAATTATCTCGTTAACTTTATGACTCGCAAAAATATTGAAGACGTTAGTATTTTTCTAAAAATAACTGTATTCTGGCTTCTTTATAGTATACTTTTGTCTCTGGCCTCGTTTCTCGATATTTCGTATTTTAGCCACTGCCACGCTATAGTTTCACACATGCCTTCCACTAGGTGTATCGACGATCTGGTGAAGGTCGCGAAAGCACCTGAATGAGGGCAGCTAAGAACCGGTCGTTGAGGAAATCCTTGGGCGATCTCTTTATTTAGTCCTATTATTGAAACGAACGAAAAAGAACATTATCATCATGTATAGTTTTGGAGATTTTCGTTTCTTGTCATAAATCACCTTAGAATTAAGGTCTCCACAGGATGTGAAGACAGAAATCGCTCTATTACACTTAACACCGGAGAAACGCGTTGCTAAAAACCTAGTAAGTCCAATTCAAATCTGCAAAAACCATTATCAAAACCTAGCAAGTTACAATGACCATTTAAAACCTAGTAAGTGCATGGACTTACTAGGTTTCAAAATGGTCAATGTGACTTACTAGAGGTAAAATGCTACTGTAGTTTAAATATTATTTCGAGTTCTGTTGGCTGACACTCGGTAACCATATCAAAATCTGGGGACTACATGAGTACTGATTCATATTCGATTTTGATTTTGATTTTTACGAGGCACTTTTGTCAAAAAAATAATTTTTAGTGTTAGTAAAGAGCATAAAACTTGCAATTTTTAACTAAATATATTCTTTTATTCCATAAAGTATACTTTAGTAACTAATCTTTAATATAAACATCGGAAGTTATCCAAATCTTTAAGCATCTTAGCAGGGCAAATGAAAATGCGTTTTTTCGCTCTCCTGTAAAATTTGCTCCGCTGCACTTACTAGGTTCTTAAATGGTTCAGCCGCGCTGGACAAAGGCCTCCCCCAAGGACTTTCACAAAGACCGGTCCTGCGCCGCTTGCATCCAGGTACCTCCCGCAGAATCGCTAAAATCAAGTGGCAGTGGGCGGGGCACATAGCTCGTAGAGCTGATGGCCGCTGGGGCAGGAAAGTTCTTGAGTGGCGACCACGAGCTGGAAGACATAGCGTGGGCAGGCCTCCCACTAGGTGGACAGACGATCTGGTGAAGGTCGCGGGAGGTACCTGGATGCATGTATAGTAGTTAGATTCAATTAACCATTAGCTGTTCTTCAAACCGAGTAAATCTACTCCACTTTTAGATAAAGCTGACAAAGTTCTACACTCAAGGAGTGGTCAAAATTCTCCTTCTTGGTGTAGCTGAGTGCTGTCCATGTTTTACAAGGCTGCCCGTCATGCCGTCAAACGCCGGTGCCGGACAGCGGTGGAATTGAGTTGATTATGAAATGTATTTATTTTTGACACCTGACGAGGAGTTTGGTATTAAACGGCGTTAGGGCCAACTGACACGTTTTGGTTCCATAATCACAGTTATTGACTGCATATCGTTTAGCTGATCGGACAAAGCTTAAATTTACAGCAGTAAATAAAAATGTCTTTCTAACTCTACCTATTTCATAGAAAAATGACGTTTATTTAGCTCAAATTACAAATCGTTCAGGAAACTTTTATTTTTCTTCGAAATTAAATAAAATTATGAGAAAGAGGGCACAGAGTAATCGAGCCATTCTTGAATTTTGTTCTACAATAAAGTTTGCTATTCGTATTTAGCTAGATTTATTTTATAATCTTTAATTTTTCTACCTTCTCTACCAACTTGCTTACGGGGCATATTATAATAACAGAATATAGGATTTACGTACATCAGCAATTTCTTCGTTTCGGCCAAATGACGTCCACTGCTGGACAAAGGCCTCCCCCAAGGTTTTCCATAGTGTACGGTCCTGTGTTTTACTAATGTTTAATAAACAATTTAACATCTGCGCGACTCTACTCCCGCCCCTACTCTCCATTAGCGGCAGTATGTTTCAGCTGCGCGGCCCCACGCCTCGGCGGTAGTCACGAGTTCACGACCCAATACGTTTCCACTCACAATTACTGCTCATGGCATGGTGTGAAGGAAATATCTGAAATTGTTACCTAATAAAGGTCGAGTGACCCCTTTATTCAGAAGTCATGGATCCTGCAAAACGATTCTAATATGTTTATTCTTTTTGTCGTACTTTCCTACTGATATTGAGGAAACGAAGATTCAAGAGTGATTACTTTAAAACGTAATTTTTCACCAACGCTTCCTGTTTGTAGGCTTCCAGAGACATAAGTTAGGATTTACAAACATTTAAACAGCCTCAAATGAATAACAACAATCTTAACCTTTTCAATATTCAAGTCTTGTCTTGATAATTCGACGATTTCAGGTCGTGCGTTCGTTGAGTTTCACAAAAAGAACATGACGACATTAAAAAATACTTCATTTATTACGCAAATCGAAAATCGTGTAGCAAATTACGCTGATATGAGCACGGCCTAATTTTCCATACAGCAGTCGATTCGATTTCTTACTGCCCATTAAGTAGTTACCACACCCCAACACTAGTTAGTGTATGGTCACGACTATCCGACCTATTTTTATTCTAGTCCTTTAATATAGTTTTATGGTTCAAATCATAATAAAATATAGCACAATGTATCTCAATGTTTATAATTAATTGCAGCTTGTTCGATCGGGGTTTTGGACTTATATTTGTGAAAGACAAAGGCCAGAAATACGTAATGAGAAGATTTTTTGGTGTACAATGTCGCATTACTAAAAATACTTCTAGCGGAATGTGAACCCAAGACCACTTAACCTTCATTTGCGTCCCCCAAAAAACAAATGCAAAAAGATTCCCGAATCCTCTCCATCACAATGCACTTCCGCCTCCAATGACGCGTGCAAATCGGAAGCCATTTTCCGAGCTAGCGCCGGTGACGTCATTGCGGGGAACTCGTGTGTGCCTAATGGTTTAATATTGGAGGAAATAACCGCTCGTAACGATGGAAAATGTGAAAAATCACTCAAATTCTTTTGTCCGGATCTTTTTTAGCATTTGGGTGTCTAAAACGATTTTAGAAACGTTTGAATGGAACTTGATTAAACACAATGTGATTGCTCACAATTTTGATTGAAACAAGCCATTAAATTAAGCCTGGAATTGCAATTTACAACTTACTTGATCATCTCATAAATGAACAAAAAGGACATCGAAACTTTCAAACAACGTTTGAACTCGCCGCTAAAAGCCAAAAAGAGACACAACATGTCATTACAATACATACTTACAAAATTTGCGATTCCAACAATGCAGCAATATCTTGTAGATCTTATGATTGAGGTTGTAAAGATCAAAATCTAACTGCGAGTGTCAAAACTGACGAGCCTTTTAGTGAATTCCGGGCGCCTCACCATAACTCCAACTGCACTTAAGCGCCCGATGTAAATTTGTCTGTTCAAAGCCCATTCACTGATGGGGCCAAAAATAAACCGATTTATGAATTAATTTTAACTCTGCTTATAAACACGACATTCACATTTGAGCTTGAATTGAGTGACGGAAATAAACTGGAAGTCGTAGCTTATGCTAAAGTGGTTGGTATTTAAACTTTGGAATTTAATTAATCTTTTCCACTTACCTAGGAACTTCTCTGAACTACTCTGGGCTATAACTTACCTATAACAATGTTTTATTATTAAATACATACCACCTTACTAATAACAAGTTACACACTCATGAACAGTTGTTTAAAATGTCATTTCCATACTAAATGTCACTTTAAACTAATGTTCAACGCGCGCGTAACTTTTATTATTAGTAAGGGGGATAATATTTAGCATACAATATGACTTGGAAACTCTTCCTAAAAACAGGCGCTTGTCTGTTTTTGCTATATTAAACTTAAACTCTTCCTATCTTACTGTTTAAATTACATCATCGTTTTATGAACTTATGGACTGTTTTTATTAGGGAGTAAATACAACTACTGTTAACAGCTAATGAGTATGAAGTTAAACAACAAGCGACTGTTACACAAATATTTATTTGCCACTTACACAAAAATACACAATGAAAGTTACACGAGAAATGTTATCAACGCTAAACGAAAGAAATCACAGATAATATAATACAACAAACTCGACGCGTACTGCTTCTAATGTCTAACTAAACATTTAAATACATATATTATATTACATTTGCGGTGACGTTTAAATAAGTCGTAAAATATATGAATCACAGTTTAGTAAAAATCGAAATTTATCACAAAATTAAACATAGAAAAAAGAAAGTAGTAAAATAAATTATAAATTCCAATCTCTGACTGACATAAAGCTTTCGATCAAGCGGTTCATGATTTCGTTCGTTATTATTTTTGTTAAAAAACACTTTTCTCAACGATATAACCCTTAGCTTCTGCATTTATCACAGCATTCCTAATTTTTAATACTTACTTACTTTATTGAAATGTTCCCCTCTGAATTTCCAACAGTGTCCTTCAAGGCACACTTTTAGCACACCTTTTATTCCTACGTGCGTGTTCGCACGAAATTAAGTTTGGAACCAATTGATTAAACGCCGTCTACTTAGATTTCTACGCTTCCATCAACACACGTCTTGTCAGTCAATTGCACGTTCTCGTAGTTATAAAATAAATAAATTGTTTAATGGCCATTTTTAAATACCTTAACTTTAGAAGTCATATTGTGAAATAGAAACACAACCTTGGAAAGAAAGTTCGATCTAATGAAAGTAAATTTGAAGAGGAAGAAGCTAGCGAATCAAAAATTTAATTAATTGAGATAGTTTCATAGACATTATTATTAATTTTAAATACAAGTGCCAATTAAGTACTCGAACGTTAAACATTTCGTAAATTACTAAGCAGAAATTTGGATAGACGATCTCAAATAACGTAAATTTTCCATTCGCATTCCAAGAATATCTAGTTGTTTTAGTAAATTCTACTTTCATAGAAAAATAGGTATAGTCACATCAAAAAGTGTACATATAATATGTCGCTACCTCGAATAATATTACATAATAACATCGAATAATACATTGTTCTGTTTATAGGACAGTGAGTTTGGATAACACCGATTATTATTATTATATTTATGTGGAATGATACTACTAGGCTTTGTCAACAAATCTCGAGAAAACTATCTCACTGTGGTCTGTTTGAATAAAGTCAAGTTCACAAGAATATACAAGATCCTAAATATTTTCGGTTATAACGGTTTTCGGTAATTTCGGTTATCGTTTTTGGTGTTTTATTGCAGTGTAAGGTTCCCAAATCCAGGGAGAGATGGCGTGGAATGAACATTACATCACAGTGGCGAAGCATATCACACCTAATAGGTTTTGTACATTTATCATTTTGACTGTTAAATTATGTAATTTATAAATAGAAATTGAATCAAATGGATTATGATATTTTTCACAGATTTGCAGACAAAGCCACTAACTATGACTTGTATATTTCGACACAGAACGATACATGAAACATCCAACCTACGTAAACATTGCGTCCTTTTCCTGCGCACTGAATTAGAGCGAGACAGCTCGCGCCACGTCCATCCTATATAGTTGATTATACCATAGACAAATATACACGAGTCAATGAAATAGCTACTCTTTTCCGAAGTCAATAAAAAGGGGTATTAAATTCGTATTACAATCATTATTAGTAGCAGCTGTGGTTTTTTTAACTTGAAAACCTACTAGAGAAGTATGTCAAAGTATGTCTAAAAATAGTTGTGAAATGTCATGGCCACCGTCATCATCCTCCAACCCTCCCAATCCGTCTGGCCAGCGTGGGGAGTGTAGGCCAAATCCTCCATTTGCCTCTGTTTTTAATTTTTTCTCTCTAATTTACAGAGAGGGTCGTGCTCCTTCGATGGACACGAAAAGTCTATTTATTAGAATTCGGACCCATAGTGAGTCAAAGACTAAATGGAAGGTGTTTATATCCTCAATCAATAAAGAAGACTACTAAAGCCTGGTCCGTGAGCACGTAGAATTTTGTCCAATGACCCCAAGCTACCCATCCTTATCACTCGCGCGTAATTATATTGCTGTCGCGACTGTGCGACGGGCGCCCGCAGACAAAATTCTACGTGCTCACGGACCAGGATTTAGAACTAAACTCACATGAATGCAAACTAGACGCATATCAATTTTAGAGAGATCTCTCATCTACAAAATTAAAGAAAAATATCATTACACTCGAAAAATAGTTTCACTTTTTATTGAGATCATTTTGTAAAAAAATAATGATGTAAGTATCAAAAATATTAAAAGAAAAGGAATTCACAAAAGGACACACAACCCAAAAAACCACAGCTATTGAATCAAAATTAGGCCTTTAGTCAAATCCGGTAGTTACAATAGGAATACATACATAAGTTATAATATGTAAATACATTTCAACATTATTTGCACGACGAAGTAGCTCAATACTATAATTAAAAATACCAAAATAACCGTAAATTTAAAATAGTTGACTATTTTTAGTAATTTTTAAAACTTGATACACTTTTTTATTACAATAAAGCCCCTAGCACAAAAATAAGATATTTTTTGATCCACATTGCTCTCAACTGCCTAATTTTTCATTGATTTTATCAATCAATTCGTCACTCTACTATTGTTGACGAAAGAAAGAGACAAAACACGATAACTACTCAATCGTGCAAATACAATTCGAAGATATCTAACGCGACCAGTGTCACAAGGATAACTAGTGCGTTCATTGATTAGAAAATCAATTCCTCTAAGTTTTATTAGACAAGAACAAGAAAGTTACACCTTATGGCTCTAGTTATAAAGTCCAGATTCAGGTCTGACCTTGAGGTTAGCGTTACTTCTTTCCCGGCTTCTTGCTGCGTCCTTGCTTGATGACCTGTACCAGTTTGACCTTCTGTGCTTCGGGGCTGCTCATGAATTCTTCTATCATCTAGAGAAGAGAATATTTGTTAGAAATAGGAACTCCAGCCGTAACCTAGTGGCTATAGGAATGATACTCAAGCCATAATCTAGTAAGTGTAGGGGTGTAGCATATTTCGCTCAGACAGCACGGCTGAATTGGCAACAGAGCTTTGTTGCGACTTAAACAATACCACTATATCCTTATGCCACTTCAGCCGTAGGCTAGTAACTCTAGGAATGCCACTACAGCCGTTGGCTAGTAGTAGTAACTGTAGGAATGCCACTTCAGCCGTAGTCTAGTAGGTACCTAGCCATAGCCTCGTAGCTGTAGGAATGCCACTCCAAACGTAGCATCGTAACCGTAGGAATGATACTCCAGTCGTAGCCTAGTAGCTGTAGGTATGCTACTCCAGCCGTAGCTTAGTAGCTGTTGGGGTGACACTCTAGCCGTAGCCTCGTAGCTGTAGGAATGCCACTCCAACCGTAGCATAGTATTTGTAGGTACACTCCTCCATCCGTAGCTGTAGGAATGACACTTCGGCCGTAGCCTCGTAGCCGTAGGGATGCGACTCTAGCCGTAGCCTAGGGGCAATGATATAGACACAGTATTTATTTAGTTAGCTTACCTCAGTGCTAAGCTCAGCCGCTATGGCCGCGGCCGCCGAGGGTCTGTCAGACAGCGCAGCCAGTGTGGGCAGTAAAGCCTTGCTGTGTGTCTTGGACACTAGCCAGTTGATCCTAGGCTCTTATCTCTAGGGATAACCCTTCAGCCGTAGTCTAGTAGGTACCTGTAGGGATACTCTCTAGCCGTAGCCTCGTAGCTGTAGGGATGTCACTCCAGCCGTAACCTAGGTAGCCCCTCTAGCCGTAGCCTAGGGGCAATGATATAGACACAGTATTTATTCAGTTAGCTTACCTCAGTGGGTCTATCAGAGAGCGTAGCTAACGTCGGCAGCAGAGCCTTGATATGTGTCTTAAATACTACACAATTACAGTTTATCAAGCTTAGAGTAATCTCTGCATAGATGATACTCCAGGCGTAGCCTATCCTTAAGGAAGTCTGTGTAGGGATGCCACACTAGAAGTAGCCAGTACCTGCTGTAGGAATGAATGTAGACTCAGTAACTTACCTCAGTGCTAAGCTCGGCCGCTATGGCCGCGGCAGCCGATGGTCTGTCAGACAGCGCAGCCAGTGTCGGTAGTAAAGCCTTGCTATGTGTTTTGGACACTAGCCAGTTGGCTGGAAGCGTGCAGAGAGTCTTGATCACGCTCCAGCCTTCGAGGATTGTCTCCTGCAAATAATAGCCTAATTTAATATTTGTAACAGGTATTAACGCGATACGCGGTTAAGTATACTGGTCATCACAAAAATCGTGGTTATAAAACCAAATAATGATCTCACGTGTCCTCTTTAACAGATTGATAGCGATTAATCCCAACTTAACAGTTTTATAGCCATAAAAGTTGGCTCAAGCGTAACTACCTATTGTTTGAAGATTTGACTCTGGATTTTTCTACAGACATATTTTTGGGGTAAAAGCTTTTAAATGGTGCCAATATTAGTGGGAAGTGGGGATGCGTACGTTTGAAAGTGCTTGTCGCGGGAGGGTTGATTTTTGTGATGACCAGTGTAAATATTACCTCTCTGCCTGACGTTTCAAAACGTTAATAGCCTTATTGTTACAAGTGACGACTGACACAACTATTAACTATGTAACGATTACAAGTAACAGGTATGCTTGTTTTACGAGTGGCGGCGGGGTTCGAACCAGCGTTCCTCGGATCTCAAGTCGGTCAGTCCGACACCTTCATTCAACGTTGATTAGTTTTCGCCTAAAATAATTAATCGTAAAGCCTAGTATTCTCAAACAACGTTCAAAACTCGATTGAAACTTAAGTAAAGATCAAGCAGCGGTATAGACACTCACAGATCTGAATCAAAGTCAAAGCTTTTATTCAGTACTTAGGCTGTATTCAGTACTTAGTCTTTTACAGGGCAAGCTTTACACGTGTACCAACACTAGGATTTTCATCAATCGTTTTTTACATTCATAATTAAGTGCCGTTTTAAATTACTTAGCCAGGCCAGAACCGCATAAATAGAAGAAAAAAACATATAAACTTCATCTTAATTTTCGATAAAAAATCATACTAAAAACTTTTTAGTAATAAGTTACCAGTTAATTTGTTCCTCAGTCTTCACCCTATTTCACGTGCAACTCAAAACTTCTAATTCAAGCAATAAATTGCATTCCCCAAATTAGAGCACCTGCTTCCAACATCTCATTACAAATTAATATCTTCCAAAAGCCAAGTCAAGCTTGGCCAAGCGCGGCCAAGTTGTTGGCACATGTGTTGCGAGCGCGCGTCCTTATCAATTATTAGCGGCAAAAAAGCAATGTCCATACTTCATGGTAACGGCCGTGACGTAATGGGGTGTGATGCAGTGGGTGCACTTAATACAATAGTAATAGTATAGTGCATGAAAATGTTTATTTATTTATTTCCATTAACATATTCAGCACATACAAACATAGGTACATGCAGTTTAGATAAGTAGCTGCACCAACTAACATCGTGGGAGTATTTGAATTGTTTTCAGGTTTTCTTCGATTTTTTTTAGAATCTTGCTTTCATGTTCATCACTTTCAACTTTATTTGCTTTTTCTTTTTTCAAATAATCAGATCGAGTCAAGCCTGCGATGTCCAAACCAAACGGAATTCGCAAGAAGTTGTTTTTCAATTCGTATACCCCACTTAGAATCCGAACCTCGGTCCCAATCATCATCGTTATCATTTCAGCCACAGGACGTCCACTCCTGAACATAGGCCTCCCCCAAATGACATCCACATCGCCCGGTTGGTAGCGGCTCAAGAGTCAAACTCTCTCAGAACCACAGAGGCGTCAATAGTCCAACTGGGCCTACTGAATTAATGTATGGTATACCGCAGCTGGATAGTGGCCGTCCAGGAGGCGACACCTGTGCCCGTGGGAACTTGCTACTTAAAACATTGTGCCTTTGTTGAATTTATGACACAGTTTACTAGTTTGGTCTGTTAATTAATAAAGTCAATTGTAATTTGTAAAATTATTAGCGCTCTCTGTCTCTTTCTACCTCACCTAGTTAACAACAAAAAAAATCGATAAAAAAACATAATTAAGCAAAATATGAGTTCCTCAAGCTAGAAAAAGTGATAATTGACAGAGATTTCATACAGAAATTGTAACATTGATAAAAAAGACAATCGCCCATATAACATTGTCTTCAGCCACAAGTCTAGTATATTCTTTCCTTACCACCTAGGGTGTAACAAGCTATATCCATTTAAGTTTAGATATTATAAAGCAAGGTGCAAATCCTCTGTATCCGTAGTCTCCGCTTTGGAGCTCGAAGTTTAATCCAGCACCTAGTTACCAACTTTATCCTGTCTCGTAGTTGAAATAAGGTGTTGGGTTTGAGTTTGAGAAGCAAGCTCGTGGAAATAAGTTCCTCCTGTGTATTCTATCTTTCTCTATGGAACTACAAAGCTTATACAGGGTGTTAGGTATATGGGTATATGAGCCGACACTAGCCCATGTTAACATGGTCATGTAAATGGTATGGTGAAGTCAGAAAATGGATATCTTCATTTTAATTATTTTAATTTTCATACAAATCGGATTTTATAAAATGTATTTTGTATGAAAATTAAAAAAAATAAAATGACAATATCAAATTTCTGACTTCACCATACCATTTATATGCCCATGTTAACATGGGCTAGTATCGGCTCATATACCCATTTACCTAACACCCTGTATAAGTGCAAGTCCGCGTTATATATACTTACGAGCAAAAGTATGGAATCACCCACTTGTGTTTTGTTCCCAACGATCTGAAGAACTCAATGACTATCTATGCATCTATGATATCAAGTTAAAGTTTGTAATGTAACCTTTAAACTGGTACCATTTTTAATTTAATCTTCATAGTCGTTTAGCTACAACGATTACCCAAAACGAATGGGGTGATTTCATACTTTTTCTCGCGAGTGTAGTTTCCACCAAGGCGTAGTAAAGAAGTGTGTTGAATAACCAATCAGATTTCATTATTTCCACTTCTCGTCTCCGTTCCGCACAGTTTCGCTCCGCCTCGGTGGAAACCGAGCCTCAGAGAACAGTCACATCTTATAGATCGTTTCATCCACGAAGACGCGCCCCACCATTCTTCCGCTAAAGTTTGAATGTTATCGGTAGACGCTAGATTATCCATGAGTGCCCCACCAATTTTTGGTCGAGGGAAGCGCGGGGTGCGGGGAGTTTGATCCGAGCAATCCTTGCGTACCGTGTGGTGACGGCAGAGTAGAATACATTTGTCACCAACCCCTACTCTTCCCACGGATGTCGTAAGAGGCGACTTAGGGACTACACATCAAACATAGAACGGGCAGCAGCGCTCTCTGAAAAACATCAATCTTTTAAACTGCGATCTCCAACCCGCCTGCCAAGCGTGGGGATTATGGCAAAACCCTCCACTATAGTGGAGGAGGTTCATAGTCCAGCAGTGGACTGTAAAGGGCTGTTGATGATGATGAATCCGAGCGTCATTATTGTAGTGTGCGTGTGCACTCACGGATGATTTAGCGTGTACCGATAACACTCAAACATTAGCGGAAGAATGGTGGGGCGCGTCTTCGTGAATGAAACGATCAGTCTGCGAAGACATAAGCGATATACTCGTGGTGATCTCTAGTATATTCAATATCTTTGGTCCCTACGCTTGAGTAAACTTTGTAGTAAAGGTCAAGTGAACAAACCATGTATACTAAATAAGTAACAGTTGTAAACACGTGTCCAACACAGGTGCGCCCGCATGAGAAAACGAAACGGTCAGCTAGAGGATGCGACTTTAATTGCTCGTGGTGGGCATAATAAGTTTCACTTGAGAAATACACGTAGATAATGTTATTGAAATAGCTAATAAATGACGGTTTGATTAAAATTCCTTAGAAGATATGGGTAATATCACATGACATGTATAGTGTGTGAAAGAACCTTGTAAGTGTTTTATTGATTGTCAATTTACCTAAAAACAATTTTGTATACTGTACTGTACAAAATACTTTTATGACGGCTTTGGATTGAGATTGATAATATAGCAACTTGGCTTTAGTCTATTTGATTTTAGGTAGACAGATAGTCATGATTACGAATTAAGAGTTCGTATTAATATTTCTTCTTACCTGAAGTTGTGGGTTGTTGACGACCACGAACCCGACGAGGACTATGAGGTCCAACACCATCGTTTCGGACAGAGTCTGGTCTAGCCGTTGGTTGCTCAGATCTGTAGGGAAAAGTAGATAAGCTCTATAGTATCTTATTCTGTTATAATAGGTGTTATTTTGGAATACAAAGATTTAAGAAATGTTATTATTTATCATCCTTCCATGGGAAGAATAGGCTAAATTATTTATTTGCCTCTGATAAATTAAGTCTTGCGTGCAGTGGAGAAGGATGACGACAAAATCCTCAACTTGCTTGTGGTAAATAAAAGAGGGTCATGCTTCTGAAGTGATGATAATGTCGGAGACTAACCAAAACTGCACTCAATGGTCCACTCCACGAGTGCACAAGAAAGGCTACAGTGTGGGAGGAATGGCGACGGATTGTGAGGCTTGCCACCGAACCTGGTGTGACGACCACGACCACTCTGGCAAGAATGTAGCGACGGAGAAGAAGAAGAACCAAACCTATAGCTACTGGAACAAGTGGTGTACTCACGCAAGGCACTGGACCTAGGAGCCTCCTTGTCGCTGGGGGCGTGCTGAGACAGCAGTCTTGCCACTGCAGCCCTGAACTCCAGCGGCCAGCCTGCCTCGCCAAACGCCTCCTGTGAACAAGCGTGGCTTTGAGTTTTATGGTCTAGAGATAGGAAAAGCTAAGGAGATTGGAGAGGTTCGATACTTTTAGGGCACTTATACACGTCCCAAATATAGTTTGCCATATCATCACTTCGGGACAAAGTAGGCTAGTGTTGGGAAGTGGCGGAAGAAACTTAAGTCACATTTGTTATTAAAAGAAGTCACATTTGTTATTAGCAGAATTTTGGCAACTGCAACAGGAGTTTGTTAGATTGTTACAATTCACGTAATGCCGACAATAGCAGGGTTCTGATGTACTAAGTTTAGATGCACACTAGCATTACATGAGACGAAGATCACATTAGATACAACTTCAAACTAAAAATTAGAGATAGCAAAGCATTAAAGGACATGACATTCTTGAACAGATTAAAAAAAATAGTCCTGATGCTTGTGGTTCAAGTCTCCAGTCAATCTCAGCAAAACTGTATCCCAGTTTAACAGTAACTACGTTTCCGAGATTTCGCAGGGGACTCCACTGGCTACCACATCTCCAAGCCAAACGATCCTCCAACACGCACGTCTGAATTATTTGGCTCACGCACTTCCGCGGCGAATCACGGGGTCTCTTTACTTGCTAGCACGGATTTGGTAACGAAACATTTGCTGCGAGTCGGGTGACCACATTATAGGGACATAAATAGGATGTCTTACATTAAAATAAGCCAACGAATAATAACAGCAATGAACAGAAAGTCAATGGTGATAGAGCCGATGATGCAAAACTTTAAAAATAAATTAAAATCTCACAATTTACGTTTAAAGTGCAGTAGCTCGTATTTCTACTCTACTAGTCACATGACTATGCACCTTTCAATTCATGACTTCACTGGTTTACTTTTTATTAATAGCCCAGCTGTAGATCCTAGCCACATAGAAATGAGGTTGGTATTATTTCCTACTTTTCCCTAAACCATGATAGGGGTACCAAATAATATAGTCGGTCATCACAGTTTTCCGAAGTGGTCGGGCCGGCCAGAGTACGTGCGCCGCTTGACAGATGACCTCTGCAGGCATATTTTAACTGTCAGAAGTCGGATTTCATGTTCAACAACTTCATGTCATTGGTTTACTTTTTATAAATAGTCAAGTTGTAGATCCCAAGCCACGTAGGAATCTCAGCGATGACATGACTACCTCCGTCCCGTTCCCTACTTTCCCCTGCACCATGGTATCCCTAGTCGGTCATCACAGTTTTCCGGAGTGGTCGGGCCGGCCAGTGTACGTGCCCCGCTTGACAGATGACCTCTGGTGGCGTTTAGTGAACTGTCCGACGTCGGATCCCTGTCAGATTTCGTGTTCAACTTTTGGAAACTTTTTACACAATATCATTTTGCTGGAACTATTGTGGTTGTGGCGGAAATTCTGTTTGACGAAGTTTTATTTTGTAATAGTTTTGAGGCCGACTTTGAGTAGAGCCGGACAACATTTATTTGTTATTTTATTAGTAGCTCAAACTTATAATTAATTATGCTTTAAAACATATTACTAGAAGATTCTGTAGAGTCGGCTTTAATATTCCTTACATAATTTTATATGCCTGCCTATACTATCTTTTAGTATTTATTACATAATGTATAATACATAAGTCACTTAAAAAAAAGTCCTGCATGACCACTAAGTAGGCCTGTAATTATGAAAGGACACCAGACTGAATTTAAAGTCAAACAAAGATTTATCTAAGCTAGAGTTTTAATTTCCAGGTTTTGACATAAAAATGTGTGCTTCCTTTATCTAGAATTCTAGACTCACCCTTTACAGTTTGTACTCAGTCAACAGACCCACACAATATTCACATCTTCATTCATTCGATCCATCCATTCGGTCCCAAAACAAGCAAACATCGGACCCCAGTGCGCAGTGTTCAAACAATCAATCATACGCAATTAGGGGGCCTTAAAAACCGCATCTGCTAATAAACTTATAATTCTGTTTATACGAGCATGTCCATTATACTAGTGTTGTATGGTATCCGTACATTTATCGATAGGCCATATGAGCAGAAGTAAATAATATCATTGTATGTAATTTTCTGTTGGAGGGTAAAAAAAGACTCTTCCTATCCTTTAAACTCTCAACTCTATTTTTTAAAGTAATACATGCCAAGTAAATTATACTAATACTGACACTGAATTGTACATCTATTAACTATGAGATATTCAATATCTTCTGTAATGTAGCCCATAATAAAATTCTTGTTGCTTTTTTTAACAAATAACATTAAATTAAATAATTTTCATTTAAAACAACTGGCTGGCTGAAACATTTTTGCTTTTAAATGGAAGTAACATAAGTAATAGTTGTATTTCAAAGCAGCTTTTAAAAGCAAAAATGTCGAAATAAATATACTTATTCATTTTTTGCTTTTAATAAACAAACGCTAATGGATGCTGAAACGTATTTTGATGAAAAGAAAGATTTTAAAATAAAATTTACGTTGTTTCTCATTTTGAAATATGAATCTTTGAATTTATTGTACAGACGACGGCATGACAATGTAGGCACTGAAAACATCTTATGTAATTAATTGTAAAAACTGTAAAGCGCTATATTGAAACAAAAATCAGATTTTTTAAATGATATCACTGTTACAACTACGTAAGTCTTGTCAGTTTTTATTTAGATGTTCCATCGACAGCCGTCGTATGTAGGTCTTCATAATAAAGATTTCCTAATATCGATAAAAATCCAAAACTACATACATCACTAACCTCACAGTATAAACACAATCTCTAAACCAACCCAGCAAGGTCTAAAATTCCACAAGCTTATTATCTAGTCCCATGGGAGGCCAATTATGCACGCCATAAAACGGGATGCAGACATCAAAGTCGGAGCGGGAATCGAACCCGCGCCTCTGGGAGCGAATGTTTGCGGAGGCGTTGTGGTTATTACTTATTATTATTGATATGGCTTACCATATCATAATGGGAGGGTAGTTAAATTATTTATTTATAAATGATGACGTCATTGAATATTTAGCTCAACTTTGCAAGCTGGTGGAGTGACGACTTACGAAAGGCAGCTACCGAACGTAATCTAACAACCATATTCACAAACATTATTATGAAGTCTCACACTGCGCGTGGACGCATATCGGTTTTAAAAACCTATTCATAGACAATACCACAGAATACATAATAGTAGCAACAGAAATTGCACTCCTTTGTGTAGGATCAGATGCCGACATTTTAACGGTAATAATCATAATGCAAAATATCCAACGCACATGGTGCATTCGAAATCGCACCTTACTACTACGCTCACAAGAGCGCATTTTTTTTGTGTTTAGAATTGATCTACGTCACCGCTCAAGCGTCAGGGTTGTATGAGCAAAGTAAAATAAATAAAAACTTAATTTTAAGAAGCATTTATTGTATTTACGATTAGAAAACTTTAATCTAGTGGAGTTTGTATAATCGTACCATCTCTAAAGTACCTATTAATAAACTTCAGTGTTGCGATAATTCGAAATTAAACAAACAGTTTTAAAAGATGTAGTGTCGGAAAATAGACACGGTGAAGTAAAGTTAATGTTTTTATTAGCTACAATAATTTTTTTGCTATAGTTTTTTGTCATAAGTATTTCAAAATAATTTATTATTTAAAAAGTGTAGTTTTTTTTTTATTATTTAAATCACTACAGTTAATTATTATTCCTAAATATTAAAATTTTTCATTAAAGAAGAATAACAGTGCTGTTGGAACAATAAACCTTGATTGCGACTATGATCGACCGAGCGTGTATAGATACGCGTGTGCAAACAGGCGCGTGGCGGCCCGGACTGATTTGCAACTTGAAGTTGTCGCGCGCTGTAGGTAATTATCTCGGCCGGCATAGGCGAGTGACGGAGGCCTGACAATACTTGAGTGGCGGAGTGACTCACACGAACCAATCACAGAGCTTCCGACTTCTTAAGCAAGTATCGTTTGTGAATACGGGTGTTAGAAATCAAATATACCTACCATTATGCGTACTAATTACATTATGCAATCCTATATAAAGACTAGAAAAAATCCGTGATAGTACGGAATCCTTCGCACCACTCGCGCTTGACCGGTTTTTTCTTTGCACCCAGTCTCACACAACTCACACAGTCCGTATATACAAAAGTCCGTCTGTGTCAAACGGGAAAAGTCGGGATGAGCCGGCGTCAGCTAATATGGCTGCTGTGTGCCGCACAAATATATTAGGGGATGGGATACCATTCGCGGTTAGGGCTGGCAGATTATAGAAATACTAGCATTTGCCCGCGGCTTCACCCGCGTGAATTTAATTTGTCACAGATCGTCATAAATTATAGCCTATATGTTATTCTGGGTTATAAACAATAATACTGTAAAGTTTTATCAAAATCCGTTCAGTGGTTTTTGCGTGAAAGAGTAACAAACATCCACACAAACTTTCGCATTTATAATATTAGTAGGATGATGGAAAAGATGCCTCATGTTCTTTTACAAAAATTTTTTTTTTCAGACGTTTGTCAACCCTGTACAAGATCCGCCGTGCAGCCAACATCTAGTATTCGTTCAATTTGGACACTCGGAATGTTTGTTGCGTTTTTTCGACGTCGAGTGTACTCCCGTGTTTGGTTTGCATTACGTTTGGAGTCGCTGCTTTGAGGTACAGTTGGTTGCGGAAATGTATTGCGTTGGCTTTAACAAATATGCTGAAAATATAATGAGATTTCTTCTCAGCACCAGCCCATAATAATAATTACTATAATGTTGTCTGTCCCGAAGTGATGGTAGGGCAAGCTATATTTGGGACGTGTACAAGTGCCCTGGAAAAGGCCTAACAAATATTTTGATTTTGAAGGCAACTTTTGTCTGGTTTCAGGTTTCGGTAGGAGAAGGACTTATGCTCCTTTTTTTCTTCAATTTTGAAGGTATATGTTGGATATTTTAAAACTACAAAATTTCCAGTTTCATGTATTTTATGATATAGATTTCCGAGTTGACTTGTAAA